ACCCAGAGTCAAATGCAGCAGGTGGGCGTCATCTGCAGCTTTTAGAATGACTGGGCGTTGGTAGACTTGGTGGGGCTTTTAGATGCTTTATGTAATAGTTCATCTGGCCTTCTGACTCAAGTGTAATTGCATAAATCTTTTCCAGACCTTAGTAGTGGATATAAATTACTACTGGAATCATATATGTCATATAGACTGCTCCACCAAAAATGAAGTCAAAGGAGAGCATTGCCTCATCTTGTCATTAACTTTGGTTCCCTCTACAGGTCAAGGGAATATAAATGAACTGTGGCATGCCTGTTTTTTCTTCCACTCTTTTTAGTTGATGGAGAATGCTGTGCACACATTTGAGCTCCTGCTTCAGTCTTCCTTAAAGGATAAACCTGACAAACAGGCCTCAGTCATGGAGAAAGCCAAGCTACGTGTTCTCAAGGTTGGCTTTGTCCACATTTACAAAGTGTATACATTAAGCAGTACACCATCTTGACAATAGAATAATTCAAATAAATGTGACATAATAATCATGATGGAAACTTTTGCTTTCCACTTTAGCAATTTGACTATGACAGCAGCACAATAAGGAAGAAGATTTTCCAGGAGGTCCTGGTTGACATCACTCTGCCAGCCATCAAGAGAAACCTGGCGCCTGCCTGCAAAACTGTAAGCACTATTCAGTTTTTTGGAAACTTATTCTTGAACATTTCAAAGAATACATTATGTAGAGTTATTCTAGCAAACTCTGTTTCTCTGATTAAATTAACGACTGGTAATGGAAATTGTTAAGAATTTAATAATTCTGGTTCCAGGTTAGGTTTTGATTCATCTTAATTCATTAACCATTAAAAGTTTCTTTAAGAGATTAATATAAAAAAATAAAAAAAAATAAAAAAATTCATATGCAGTTGATGACATCATTTCAAAACAAAACAAGTCTTTGTTAAACTTTTTAGAGGTGACATAGATCAAATACTTAAAAGCACAATATGTAAGATTGTTTTATTAAAATTTCCAAAAACCACTAGAACAGTGTTATATATTTTGCTGACTTGTGTACGTACATTATCCCAAATGTTTCAAAGAATGTTTAAATCCTGAGAAATAAGCAATTTTAACTAGTGACACGGACCGTGTCTATAGTGTCATTGTGTCGTCTGCCAATGACGTCATAACCCCTCCATTTCTGGTTTTGTTTTGTAGAAAACATGGAAGCACCAAAGATGCTTTAATATGTTGTGCGTTTTAATAGATCGGTGATGATCGCACAGAGTAGCATTATAACAGAACTTTCAAATGTATTTAGTATGATAAAATAGTGCTGCTTTTTTTCCCCCCACATACTCACGACCGGAAGGAGCGGAAGCGGTCGACTGTGTCACGCTCGTTCAGCGGCCTCGTTTCGCTTCGACGGCTTTCAGCCTCACCCTGCTTCATTCTACTACGTTAATAAATCATTAGCTCATCCATGAACATGATTTCTACCCGAGTCCCGTTGGATTACATCGGCTGTGGGGATGAAGACCACAACTCCCATGTTTCCACACTCACGGCGTCATCAAACTATGCCTTTGTTTCTTTGTTTGTTTCGAATACGCGCCCTCTAGTGGCGAAAAATTACATATTGTGCCTTTAAGTATATCTAAAACAATAATACTAAACAATAAGATGGCAATATTTTCATTATTTGTCAAATACTACTGACAAAACAAAATGTGTATCTTTAGATTTACTAAAAATAAAAACATTTTATTAGAGTCAATAATTCGGGTATCAGAGTGTATTGGCTAAATGCGTTTGATTCACTATTGAAGAACTGACACATTTGAGCCGTTTATTCAGGAATTGGACTTTGCTGGCAGCACTGTATGTGCTGTATTCACTGAAAAGAACCAGTTCATTACAGTCATTCATTCAGGAATCAGACTTCACTGGTTTAGTTGACTGTTTTTGATTAACTAAAAGGAACCAACTAATTAAAGTCAATTAGTAAAATTTTACTGCACTGTAAACACTATCAGGAAACTCTTTCAGGCTACTTCAATACGGTATTCTGTCCGCGTTTGGGTTTCTGTCCTTGCTGACAGTAATACGATGTGTTTGTGCCAGTCTGTCATGATTTAGTTTGATCTTATTGCACAAAAACAGTGGTGATTAGTACCTCCAGTTAGGGGTAGTTTTGTGTGAAAAGTTTTTTCTCTTTTTGCAGGAGCTTCAGAATTTTGAACAGTTCATCTTTGCTGATTACACGAACTTCGTTCAAGTGGAGAATGTCTATGAGAACATACTGCTCAACCTTTTGAATAATGAAGTGAACAAAGGTACAGTAAACAGTTTTAGCTGTTTGTTTTGAGTGTTTGTGACATATGAATAACTTCAAAACATCAACATATTCGTCAATATTTTTGCTGTACAGTGGTGAAGGAGGCAGCCAGTCTGAAGAAAAACAACCTGTTTGCTGACAGTACTGACCTGCAATGTGTTAGTCAAAGCAGCCTGGCTGACAGCCGCACGCCGCCCCTCTCTGCCCCCTCCAGCCCACCACAAAGACCAGGCTCTGTGGCTCTCTCTCAACAAGCTGAGCAGAAGATCACCTCTCCATCAGGAGGATCCGTCAGTGAAGACACCCAGCAGACACATGCTGCTCCAGTCATTCCTACAGTGAAGATTACAGTGCCTTCTCCAGAATCTGTGGAACCTACTTCACCATTACATGTTTCTGAAACAACTCAACCAGATGTTCCACCAACATCACCTAATCATTCATCACCCATTCCAGAGGTCTCAGAGACGGACGTTTCCTCAACCAAACCAGAAACCATCTCATCTGCAGAAGATTCATCTTCTTCACGACCAGAGACACCTTCTTCTAAAGCGAAGGATGAAGATACAGAGGGATGTTCGGTTAGTACAGACCGAGCAGTCTATCTCAACTCAACAGCTGAAGAAACTCCTGTTCCTCTCGTCATCGCCTCTGAAAATCTAAACGTGGAAGCAGATGAAAAAAGTGAAGGTGCAAGTCCTCCTAAGTCTGAAGTCAAAGAGGAACGTGTCCATATTGTCCAACCTGACGTTAACCTGACAATCAACAGTGAAGTTCTCCCAGACGTATGTGTTGAAGACACTGCTGTGGATGCCAGTGTTGTGGTGGATAACAAGGCGTGTGAGGTAGCGCCTTCTAGTGATGAGAATAGAAATGAAACACAAGATAGTCCTTCTCCTCCTCTTGACTCAGTTCCTGATGGTCCTGTAGGGGGCGCTGTTGCTTTAACATCAGAGCTGGAGAAGCACAGCGGCGCTGTGAGCACGGATTCACCGGAGGACACCGAGGACAGTGTGCAGGATATCAGAGATCTCATCATGGAGGTCATCGAGGTAGAGGACGTAGTGAGACCTTGTGCTGAAAACCAGCCTTAAAAAAAGGTTTGAATGATGTTTTGATCAACTATCCAGCTCTGCTAACAAAACCAAGTAGTTTCCATGTAATATTTTCTATTTTTTAGTTGCATCATTTCATACACATTTACTATTTTTTAATAATAATCCAATTGTTGACATTGTTTTGAATTTTTTTAAATACTTTGGCTTTGAAAACCAAGTGCCTATGTAAACAGAATTCAGTCTTTTTGTAACACTTCCTCTTGCATCATATTAACCAAAAAAACTATATACATACACATATATATTGAGATTGCTGTTTGTACTTGCAGTTTTTGTTCTTTTTCAATACTTAAATTTAATGGTGAAACGTTTTTTTTTTTTTAATGTGAGGAAAATTGAATGACAAAAAAATAGAAACTCTACATTTCTAGATGGTACACAAATTTTGGTAGACTGACTTAATTTATTAATGTATTGTACTGGTCTGTACAGACAACTTATTCTTTATAGTAAATAACAGGAGATTGTGCTGATCACTAAACAATTATTTTATACCAGGCTGTAGATTTTCTGAACATGAGACACAGTACCTTTGCACATATGATTATAACAGTGAGAGTGTTAAATAAATTTACACAAAACAGAGACAGTTCATCAGTGCATCGTTTTAATTCTTCTGTTTGCAGTTAAGGTCAATTCACATTAATCTGTCAAACTCACAGGATCATTATAGCAGCAAAGACCAAGATGTTAGGAGGCACATTTTGTGTCTGGAAATACAGAGCTGTCTTGAATTCATTGAGATAAATTAAAATTAATTAAATATAATCCCCAAGTTCAAACAATATCATAAAATTGCACCAGAGGCAGTATTTAGCACCTTACTTAAAAGTGTTATAAGACTCAACCATTTTCACAGCAATGAACCCTGGACATTATTAGGTCGTTAATTCATAAATATCTCTCATAGGAATAATGTCTACTTACATAGGCTAACACGCACAGCGTAGTTTTGTTATACATGACAATTAGTGCAAGATATTTTGAATAAAGTGAGTGATGCTACATCACCATGAAGCTGTTAATGCAGTTTATCCATTTATGCAGTCAACTCTGGTTAATGAGAACAGGAGAAATCGGTCAGTAACATTTTAGCTGATTATCATTTAGTGAATATGAAGGTGAGAACATAGTCATTCGTGTTCAGTGAATATACTTTATACTATTAATTAAAGTGCACTCCCTAAAACCTAAGAAAGGGTGTAAAAAATAAATAAAGTCTATTTTGAAAACTAAAATCAAACTCTAGTCATTAGTAACTAAGGCGGAAGCATGAGGCAAATTAAATTGTACTCTGTATGTCTCTCTAAGATCGTAAGATCAAGAAGTCTTCAAACCAAATGAAGTCAACTGAACAACAGCACTTCATAATATCCTTCATAAATAATAATGCATTATATAAGATAATGCAATGTACACAGATCATCTGTTAAGCATGATAACATTATGTAATGCTTAAAGGATTATTTGTGTACATTCAAACAGTAAGAAAACTCCATTTATAAACATTTGAATATAAAATAGCATTTTGCATTCATATTTGAATGTACATGAACTACTGACCTTTTTGTTAATGAATAATTAAAAGTTATTATAAAGCATCACCAAGCATTTTACTGGGGTCTCGCTATTAATCCTGCCTTTAAATCCAAGGGTGGGCCCACATGAGTTTTGTAGGAGAAAAAAAAAGTTGTCTTGTAGTGAAATGCAAGGTAAGATGCAGCAGCTCTATCTGGTGGAGCTGTAGCTGTGGAAGAAAGGCTCATCAGGACGAAAACCGTAGGCAGTGGCAGGACGTCCGTCGGCTCCACTGCTGAGGAAAGAGATGTGAATCAAGTGAGCATAAACCGTTACTGTTAACATGTTTCCTCTAAGAGGCACTAGATGGCCTTCCATACATATTATCAGGAGAGATGGCAGAAACATCATTCAGCTTTTATATTTTGTCATGTGCTGCCAACTAGACATTAATTCATCAAGGCCTGGTTTCACAGACAGGGTTTAAGTTAAGCCAGGATTAGGCCATAGTTCAATTAGGACATTTAAGTATTTTTTATAAACGTGCCTTAGAAAATAACATTACTCATGTGCATCTTGAGACGAAACAATGGCACAAACTTATTTTAAAATATGTCAGTGCAAGTTTCTTTCAGGTAAAACAGCCCAGACATGCATTTTAGTCTGGGACTAGGCTTAAGCCTCGACTATGAAACTGGGGGCAAATGTTTTTGGCTTGAACATTGTACATTTTCCTATATAACTTACATAATATAATTTATATTAACTATATATATATATATATTACTTTTTGAGTTTGAAGCATCAGGCAGAATAAGTTGACAATGTGAGAATAAATTGGGCCACACATTTTGTACTATATGCCATAGTTTTCCAGCAAAATATATAAATGTGTACTGTATATGAAATAATAGCAGTGTGATTTATTCAGCTCTTACATTTCTGATGAACTATTATTCCTGAAAACATTTTTGGGGAGATAAAAAAGTAATATTCTCACATATACAGATATGTTATTAAATATAAATAATAAAAATGATCAATTTTTGTGGTAGTGGTTCAAGCACACTGACTGGATACATTTCATAACCTGACACCAATTACGATTAGTTGTTAGAATTACATTAAACAAGAAGTGAACACAGAGAACATAAAAAATGAATGCACTAACAATATACTTGAACAAGAACAAGATAAATCAACAAACAAAACCGAGACGGACTCAACAATAAAAACAGCCAGAGACATAAATAAATAACAAATCCAATATAAGAGTATAAAATAAAAATGGCAAGCTTCCTTGAAAACATTTACCTGCTGTCCAAGATACCGCGGTATAGTATGTGCCACATATTGTCCCATGTAATGCCAAGTTTTTAATTCAGTGAGCTCTGCATGCCAGTGTAAGCTTTTAACATACTGCATGCTATTGGCCATTGGCAAGGTACAATACAGACTGTGACATACAAAATATATTCATGTAAATTTGATGAGTCAGTGTTTTTATAAAAACAAACTAAGATTTAACAAAATCAGCAGTAATGTTTAATTTTTCAGTGTTCTCAGTGTGCAGAAGTGAGAGTTAAAACACATTCCTGTCCTGCTTGCACCTCTACAAGCAATTTACACTCATTCAGGATGCACAGAGCCAAAAAAGTTCAGTAGTTTTTAGAAGAAGAAAAAAACTGGCCGTCGGCTCTGTCTGCCTCTCTCTAAACCAACAGGTTCAAGCCTACATCCTTAAATTATGAGCGGTTTGCTTTGCCCCTATGTACCCACATTACATTGTGTTGTTTTTAGCCTCATATGACCTCCAGTAATCAAACACAGCTCCTCTTAGCATCCCGACTCACACTCTCTGCTGTCTAAAATATGTCGTTTTCCTATTGGCCTGCCAGATCTGTCAGGCTGAATTTGAACAGTGGGTAAGAGGGATTCACGTGCGGGTCAGCACCACTTGTAGGTGCTCTAAGCCTCTGTTTTTGACTAAATTTGACCTCCGCACTTGGCCTTTCCTTGAAAGCAAGTTCTTTAGAAAGAAATACAGGCTTCCAGAGTTCAGGATAATCATCTACAGAGGGAGAGCTTTTATTGTGCTGAGAATTTATAGCTGTGAGTTATCAGAGTTTCAGGTCAATAATTACAGGATGATATTAACACCCAAAAATGAACTCAGTCTGATAAGAAAATGAGAATTAATGTGAATATATTCTACAATTTATGGCCTGTGATTCGTAGCGAGCACATTCCTGTCCAATTATGAGGCAGCCTGTCACCTCTTCCTGCATGGGGCTTCAAATACAGGGCAATAAAAACTGAGTGGGGATGGGATTGACAGCTCATAGGGAGCCAGGTCAGCCCTGAAGTTCTGGGAGGGGAAACGGCCAAAGGTGCCCATAAAAAAAAAGACCCTTTTAACCAGACATTGTTTCATAGCTCAGAAGAGTGTGTTTGTACAGGAAACGGACCTCGGCTCTTTTATAAAAGGACGTTTCTCCTCCTTTTTCCCCCCAAGTTGTTCTCCAGCCTGTTCTTTGATCTCCCGCTCCTGTCACTTCTCCGTTTGCATGCCCTACCTTGGCTGTGTCAAATCAACAGCACCCCCTTTTTCCCCTTTCCTTTGCCTGATTGCGTGTCCACATCCCTTTTTTTTATTTTCCTCCTGCGTTCTCGTCCAAGACTTTAGGGACACGCAGTGTGCCACACGGGTTGAATAAATGTGGATTTGTCAGTCTGATGCGTGCACACAAAAGACACACACAGAGAACTGGTTTTCCTCGGGGACATCAGAAGCCCATCTGCAGACAGAGTGGCCTGTTTTAGCTTGATCCAGCACCTCATCTGTCTTCATTCTCGATCACTAGGGTTGGGAATCAACAGGGTTCTGGTGATTATTATAAGGATATCTAGGACACAGTATGATAAAACGGTGTATAATTATTCAAAACTGTCATATTTGTGAGCTTTTACACGTTTGTTTCTCTTTCGTCTGAACTGGATTTTGGCATTTTGAACAATCAGCAAAGGTACAAAAAAAAAAACACTCTATAATATGTATACATTATTCACATTAATGCATTATTTGTGTTTTTATCCAAAGTGGTGTCACTTTTGCCTTAAAAATGTTTTTTTATGAAATGTCACATTTTAAAATACATGTTTTTTTATTTTAAAACTGGTCATTTATTCCTGTGATGGCAAATCTGAATTTTCAGCATCATTACGCCAGTCTTCAGTGTCACATGATCCTTCAGAAATCATTCATAATATGCTGATTTTGCACTCGAGACATTTCTTATTATCAATGTTGAAAACAGTTGTGCTGCTTAATATATTTGTGGAAAACATTATATATATATATTTTTTAGAATTCTTTGATAACTACAAAGTTTAAAATAAGCAATTATTTGAAATACAAATCTTTTTAATAAATGTTTTTATAGACACTTTTTCTCAATTTAATGTGTCCTTGCTGAAAAAAAAAGTCTTATTTTCTTAAAAATCGAAATCTTACTGAAATACAATTACACATAAATTCTGCCATACTAAGTATATATATTACTGATATACCAAGCAACCCTACATGGGAATCCTGACGGACCACTTGAATTAATCAAATACCTGTCTCTCAGGTTGGACGTGAAGTAAACCACTCCAAAAGGCCTGCGTTCACAGGCATCGTTTCACAAGCGTCTTAAGTAAAGGCTGAAACTCTGTTTGATTATTATTGTAACCTCTGTCACTCAGAGCTGCCCACTCAAATTAAACCATTCATCCCAGGACCCTAATGTTGCCCCCCAACCCTCAGTGTATATTTGAAATGTATCGCTTTACAAAGAGCCGCTGGAGAGCTCGCCCCTCCATCTGGATCCCTGCTTCTCTCCTCACCCACATGACAGCCCGGCGGCACTCAGCGCCCCAGCCGTCAGTCTGCAAAGTGCCCAAATCCCCACCCAGCCAAAACAAACAGGCCAACGAGCAGCGCATTCTCCATACAAAGCACACAGCGCATAATAAACACATCCAGTGAAATAGATGGCATGAAGTATGCACTCAGGGCAAGTTTAGACTACAAGTGTAGGTATGTACTATCAGAGCTGCATATCGAACACAAGTGGGAGATCCATTTCCTCACAGATCAGCTCTTTGGCAGGCTGAGAGAGTCAACGTGAGCACCGGATCGGATGGAGAGGTGAAATGTTATTTTATCTGTACTCGTGTGTGTGTGTGTGTGTGTGTGTTTGTAGAGGAATGTGGACAATATATTTGGCTCCATAGGACTTAAAAGGAATGTTTATTATTGGGCCAAAAGAGTGTCATTGACAGAGTAAGAAAACGTCAGAGTAGAGAGCCTGGTGCTTTGTTGAACAGCTGTGATCATACTATCCAAATGATTAAAAGAAAAGTACAAAAGCTAAAATTGTTTAATGTAGAAGGTTTGCTGTTTTATGAAGACCTAAAAACCAAACTGATGGGAGAAAACAGGTACAGTAAACAATGGCCTGATGGTCTGGGGACAGTGCGACAAACAGATTGTTACTTGCTGTTTTCAATGTACTACATGTGTTGTGTTATGCCTTTCAAACTGTATGGTTATTTGTGATGCATTAAAGACTGTTGTTGAATTACACTGATATATGTTCATCACTGATGTAATATTATCTGTACTGTAGGTGGCTAACATTAGGATGACTCGTAAGAGTGCTTGAAGCATCAGTTAGAACTGGATCAATATTATAAACAGCAGTGTTTCATATGCCAGTGTTTTCTAGCAAAAGTGCTATTATTGAGGTTTCTTTTTAAAAAACAAAAAAACAAAAACCTTTAACAAAAGATATGATATATTAGCACTGTCATAATTCACTGAGATTAATTATAGAAAAATTTGACTTTAGACCACAAAACCAAGTCTTAAGTCGCTGGGGTATATTTGTAGCAATAGCCAAAAATACATTGTATGGGTCAAAATAATAGATTTTTCTTTTATGCCAAATATCATTAGGAAATTAAGTAAAAATCATGTTCCATGAAGATATTTTGTAAATTTCCTACTGTAAATATATTAAAACTTCATTTTTGTTTGGTAATATGCATTGCTAAGGACTTCATTTGGACAACTTTAAAGGCGATTTTCTCAATATTTAGATTTTTTTGCACCCTCAGATTCCAGATTTTCAAATAGTTGTATCTCGGCCAAATATTGTCCTATCCTAACAAACCATACATCAATGGAAAGCTTCCATGACTGGTTTTGTGGTCCAGGGTCACAAATGTGTGATAAAAAAAAAAAGAACTACAAAGCACTCCAAACTACTTTTAACTCGACAAGGCGTCACAGAATGAGTCACTCACTACACAAAGTGGCAAAGGGATTTTCTTAGTAAAATCATGTTTTTTTTTTATATAATTCTTTTAGTTAATTGGCATAACATGTAAATAATTTTGATTTAAATTTAAATTGCCAGCACTAATAATTAACAAAATACAGTCAAAACAAAAATCATTTCACACATGTATATAATGCAAGGAAAGCTGACGAGGGTAACAACTGCTCACTCACCAGGTGTTGAAGTCTCCATTCTGAGAGTGGAACTGGCTGTAGAAGTCTGGACTGAGGCCTGGCTCTGGGGCCATCATACCGTCTGCGCACACACACAGAGTACATAGAGCAAACAAACGTAAGAGACAGCGACCCCGCAGAGCCACTTCCACCCAGCAGCTCTCCTCATCTATCTTCCTGACAACCTCTCACTACGACAAGCCTTTGATGACACCAACTCGACGGACGATCAAGACAAAATACAGCACCACAATCCCCATGCAAAAATCTGGAAATCTAAATGTAAGGTTTTAACTTTCCGTGTCTGTCAAGTTGTGGCACAGCATGTCAATCAAGTCGTGCTAGCAGACAAGAAAACACTGATGTCTTTCATGATCTCAGCCATGTTCCTCCGCGGGGTGTTTATTTGGGGCGTATGTGTGGTTTCTAACCAGTGCTGTAGAAGAGATCGGGCTGCTCCAGGGCGCCCGGTTCGTCTCCGTACAGGTATGGCTCGGCGTCCTCCATCTGTCTGCTTTCCACCATCTCCAGCCACTGTGAGTTATGCCAGCGAAACTTCTCACTTTGGATCTTCTTCCCCCACTCTTCATCATACTCCTTTGCAGAACACACACAAACATGTATATTTATTCGCCTGAGATGTGTTACTACCCTCTAACCTAAATTATACCACACAGCACTGCAAGTTGTCAAAACAGCGCTGTCACTCTGTATCTCAGTGCCAGCTCGTCTTGAACTCTCTACAAGAGATTCTACCATTTACCGTTACACAGACTTCTAACATCGTCCGGACCCTCCGCAGCAGATTAATTTCATCCCACAATGAGGGCTTCTGTCTGAGCAGGGTTTCCCCTATAGGCTGTGGCTGCTGATGGTGCCACAGAGAAACAGAGCTCTGGCTGAATCCAGTGATTACTGGGTGGAGTGCCACACAAAACACCTCGCCCACAGCCATACGCTTTCTGCACAACCTGCACTTTTTGATGAGACAAGGAATCAGTTGATTTTGTGTTATTGGATTCATTACTGGATTTGCCAACGCATGTCAAGTGTGTCACTTTGTCTACATCAGCCTCCATCTTCATAGACCTCTAATGAAACAGCACTGAACTAGTGCTCATCTGAGAGAAGTGTGACTAATATGCTGATTTGGTGCTGAAGAAACATTTCTTATTATTATCAATGTTGAAAACAGTTGTGCTGCTAAACATATTTGTGAACCATGATATATTTTTTTAGGATTCTTTGATGAACACGTTTTTTTAAAAGAAGCAATTATTTGAAATAGAAATCAATTTTAACAGTATAAATGTCTTTATAGACACTTTTGCTTAATTTAATGTGTCCTTGCTGAAAGAAAGTATTATTTTCTTAAAAATCAAAATCTTACTGACTCCAAACTGGTTCCAGATTGGGAACCAGCACCAGTTGGAAAAGGATATTATCAGTCTTGCAAGAGTCATTCTTTACGCCCTTTTGCAAGGAGCTTAAAGTTAACATAAAATCAAAACTGACCCCAGTTACTTTATTAATGCACATTTGACCAAATTAAAAAATTTCTATCTTCATAATATTTCATCTAAACCGCCGCCTATGACTTGGCTTTTTGGCTGACGTCACCCACTCATATTTTTCAACCCCAACCTTCAAACCACAAGACCATTTTCCAATCAACTGCTGATGGATAAAAGCCCTACCTTACTTTTTTTAGTTGAATATCCTGCTTCAACATCACATTATAGAAAGCAAAATGTGTAGCAAATGCGGTTTCATTTAACAGTTACTCTCAACAGGACTGGACCCAACATAAGGTCATGGTGGGCGTTTCTCATGAATGCCATAAACTTGACCAGCTCTGAATATATCCAACATTCGGTAAAGAGAGCATAATTTTGCCATGACTAACCTTACTAGAATCTGTTTTCACTCAATTTTTAAACAATATTAATGTACTTCTTGTGTAGATTGTTCCCTGAAAAAAAAATAAAATAAATAAATAATTTTTCTAACGTACGATTTTAAGATGTTTTTTTCTATTTTACATTGCGTGATGTTTTGGGTTTATTACCGTTTAGTGTTTTTGTGTGCAATGGGTCCAAAACAAATTTTCCCTTCGAGGACGGTAAAGTTTATTGAACCTAAACTTGAAAAATGAAAAAGTCATACAGGTTTGGAGTTACAGGGTCGGTAAATGACGACAAAGTTTTAATTTTTGGGTGAACTATCCCTTTAAGAAAATTAGTTTTGTTTATACCAAACAATGAAAAATATGAAATCATTTGTTACTCTCTCACAGAGCAGCCAAGAAGCATGTCTTTGCACAGAGCTCACTCCATAAATAAAGATTAAAAAGTTAAACCATCTCTGCTGAGACAAAGATTTTGGTCTTCAGAAAAGTTTACGTGGTATTTTCTTTTAATCTCATCTCTGTATAATTCACATTAAAGCAGTGTTTCAGCGCAGCGCTGCTTTGTTTACAGCCGTAATCAAGGAAACGCTGTATCTGGTGTTCCAGAAGCGCCTCCTGCTGTCAGAGAGTGAATCTGCATCTCATTCAGAGCATCTGTTTGTTTCGTTCAGGCATGTAGTATAATTTCACAAAGCTAGTCAGAACATTCTGTTTTTGCTTCAAATTGGGTTATTATTAAATAAAATTATGTATATGAAATTATATAACTAAATGATATGAAATGATATAAATGATATGTATATGAATTATATAACTACAATTAAATAACTGTAATTACAGATTTAGGTTAAATAAAGATGTCAGTCTTTATTTTTCTTCTTTTTAGGAAACAAATCAAAGAAAAAATAAACAAATTATACTGTTCCTAATATTCTGTATGTTTCTCAAAAACAAAATATATTGTGTTCAGTGGAACCCAGTCATTTAAAAATAACACATTTTAGAGCAATAACGACAATACCGTGAAACTGTGATGCTTAAACGAAACATGCTTAAGGTTATCATACCGTCAAAATCTCATACCGGCCCATGCCTAGATGCGAGCATTGAGAATTGTTTTGAAATTGGATCATGAATCCCAGAATCAATATCTAATCAAATGTTGTTTTTGTTTTATTATTATTATATATTTTTTAAATTTAAATAATGTATAAATAAAAAGACTTGAAGTTTGCACCCAAGGCTGTCAACTTTTTTAACCATCTCATATATATAAAAAATTTTTTTTCACAATTTTACAGTAGTCTCCTTTAATTTATTACTTTATCTTATGATTTGTTGCTGTGTGTTTGTCAACAGTAAGTGACAACTGATTGTAGAAGTATCTAAGCAAAGCTTTTAATGTCAAATTAATTAGTTAAACTTTATTTTGATAGTCCACTTTAGACATTCTACTAACTATAAGTACATTTGTAACTACATGTCAATGTAAAAGTGACTTATAGACAGCAGAATGTCTAAAGTGCTTTTCTTACTTAGAGTTTTTGTCTTGTTTCTAGTCCAAATATCGAAAAATTCTTAAATCAAGAAGCATTTTCTAGACAAGTAAAAAATTATTGTCTTGTTTTCAGAAAAAAATAAGTCAAAATTAAGTGAGTTTTACCTTCAAACAAGCAAAATTATCTGCCAATGGGGTAAGCATAATAATCTTGTTTTTTAGTTTCAAATAATGCTTCTTGATTTAAGAATTTGAACTAAACAAGACAAAACTCTAAGTAAGAAAAGCATTTTTTTGCAGTGTAAATTAATCCACAAAACTGCCAATTTTGTTACCTTTCTGAAGGTATATTTACCATGATAATCTGAATTAATAAATTAATTTAGCTTGAGTAAAATTTTTTAAATGTATATTTATTTATAAAACTTACTGTAAAATTACCTTAAGTGGAAAAAGTCTTTTTCATAGAATGGCCGATGAAAATGTAAATCTGCATACTTTATATCAATGTCAAACATGTCAGTCTATGGAGCCAGAGCTATACATCTGCACTTTCTCTGTCACCACGGATACAAACCAGATCCCACACGCACACTTTCATGTGGCCGAGGCTTAACGAGCAGGCTAATAAAGTGAATGAAACACTTCCCCAAACAAACCTGCCTCTTAAGAGTTCACCACCAATTACTGCTATCTAATGTCAGTGAGTGGGCATTAACTGCAGAGATCTTATCGGCACTGTAAACATCAGGATTGAGCAAACACACACACACACACACTGAAGTCTCCGATTTGGATTTGAGTGCTCATATGTAGTGGGGTATTTTGTAGATACTTACGGCAATAATGTCCAGAGTGTTGTCACAAACCTGCCGGATCTCCACATTTTTGTCGTGCATAAGGTCGATGAGGTAAGCTGGGGCCTCTTTGAGATACGGTTAAGGAGTTCACAATTCATTGACAATTAAAGCCTAATAATCGTGGCGTCTCAATTACCATTATTACAAGTTTCAGTCAGTGAAAAATCTTCCCATCTACATCAAAGAGAAAAGTCTTGATATATGTGACCCTGGACCACAAAACCAGTCATAAGGGTCAATTTTTTAAATTGAGATTTATACACTGAATAAATAAGCTTTCCATTGGTGTATGGTTTGTTAGGATAGGACAATATTTGGCCGAGATACAACTATTTGAATATCTGGAATCTGAAAGTGCAAAAATCAAAATATTCAGAAAATCGCCTTTAAAGTTGTCCAGATGAAGTTCTTAGCAATGCATATTACTAATCAAAAATTAAGTTTTGATATATTTACAGTAGGAAATTTACAAAATATCTTTATGGAACATGATCTTTACTTAATATCCTAATGATTTTTGGCATAAAAGAAAAATCTATAATTTTGATTCATAAAATGTATTTTTGGCTATTGCTACAAATATACCCCAGCGACTTAAGACTGGTTTTGTGCTCCAGGGTCACATTTTATCATGCCATGTAAAAACCTGCAAATTTGTA